TCCACTTGAAGAACCATGGTTACAGGTAAGTAACCTCTCTATTTCTAGAAGCCACAGCCAGCATGGTCAATATTACACTATTATAATTATGTTCTTGGCAGCATCTATACTACTGCACCTCTTTGGTAACTAAAATGGATTCTACAAAGAAGATATTAGGGTAATGCTAGTTAAATGTACAACACACTGAGCTTATGTTCAGAGAGCCATTATGTACAACATAGCTGTCAACACTTGTTTTCCTGTTGAACTGGTACTTTGGCCATTGTAAGCGAACAGGAAGGCTGAAAAGAAATAGAATGGTATTGCAATATGTGTACTTGTGATTTCTTGGGCAGCTTTTCAAGCCATAACACCATGTTTTCCCCAAAATAAGACAGGGTCTTATATTAATTTTTGCTCCAAAAATGCATTAGGACTTATTTTCAGGGGATGTTTTATTTTAGAGTCATGTCATCTTCTTCTGGTTGCTGCACAATGGTGGAGGGCAGGGTTTCACTTAACTGGGGCTTCTTTTTGGGCTAGGGCTTATATTACGAGCATCCTGAAAAATCATACTAGGGCTTATTTTCAGGGAAACAGGGCATTTAAAAATTAGCACTCTATTTTTTAAAATGGTAAAGAATTATTTTTATGAAGGCAGTCTTGCACTGTGAGGCTGTTCTATAAATACCACATCAGGTTTGGGCTTGTTCATCATGAGGGAAGAAACATACAATCTATGGGTGCATCTAGACAAAGCCTGTATAATGCAATCATTTTGACTCATTCATAACATTTTAACCACCACCATCACCCTGTCCTGAATAAGCAATCTGATTTTGTATTTAACTTGTCTTTTCTTCCCTCTTTTATTCTAGGGGGAAATTTGCAGTAGTAAAGAAATGTGTTAATAAAGAATCTGAAAAAGAATTTGCAGCAAAATTCATGAGAAAAAGACGAAAAGGCCAAGATTGCCGCCTGGAGATTGTTCATGAGATTGCAGTTCTGGAACTTGCACAATGCAGTGATTGGGTTATCAGTTTGCATGAAGTATACGAAACATCAACAGAAATGATTTTGGTATTAGAATAGTAAGTATGAGCATTATGATGTGATACCTTTATGGAATGAGAGACATTTCAGTGAATAACTATCTCCTATTTATTCAGGAAATCAGTCCAGTTTATCTTTCATGTCCCAGAACTTCCTTCTCTTTAGCAAGGGATCTAGCTAACTTTCTCTGATGTCAGTATACAAGTGACAGTTGAGAATATAATGAGTTAGATCTTCCATAGCTGCTACCCCACAAATACACCCTCTGTCTTGAATTGGTATACCATGGAATCTCCCCAGTTTCATCATTGATTCCATCTGTTCAAAACAATCTGGTAAAAGCTTTCCGATTTCCATTTTCATAGGATATGAGGGATATTTTTCAAATTAATACAGATGCTTTGTACCTGCTAACCATTTGATTTTTTCAGGGATCTGATAACAGGTGAATTTGAGCTCCAACATCTAGTACTCTTTGTCTAAATATATTTTCGATACCATTATACTCCTTGGGTTAAATGCTTGTATGGAAAAACCATATTTTGGGAGTAAGTTGGAAAATTCCTGTAACTAGCAGTGTTCAAAGAGTTACCCTCTGTTCCTCTAAACAGATCTTAGGAAATCTGCTTTCCTTCACCTGATTAATTTTGCACCAATCACTGACTATCCTGGCATGAATTATACCAGCAGTTGTTCTCTTACCCAGCATGACGTTCACCCTCATGGCCCCTGCTTGTCTCCCCAAACACAGAGCTCACGAGGGTAAACCAAAATCTCTCTTCGCACGCTGCCACCAGTTGATCTCCTTATCAACATTCTTTACTTAGGAAAGATGAAGGTCCATTCAGTACTGACATTTTAATAAAACAGGTTTATCAATTACATCTGGTTTCTAGAATAATTCATAAGCATATTCCTTAAGTTTCACCAAGCATCAATATTAATCTATATTAAATATCACAGGTTACTGATCACTCCTCAGACTAATCACTCCTCAGATCCCAAACTATCCTTCTTTCAGATTTCTAACAAACTCCCCCTAACTCACTCTCTCAGGCTCCGCCTTTTAACATCTCTTGAGGCCCCACCTCTCAACCACATTAGCATATAATTCATAAATATTACATATCTTATTACATAATTTAGGGTGATTGCTACACCCAATTCCACTCTAATTAAGCAGAGCGATGTAGAATTTGAGGCTCCCAATATCAATTTTGAACTCTCAATATTGGTGAGGTCGGCAAAACCCCAGATTTCTGCACCGAATATTAGTATTGGCATTACCTTTGCTTTAAAGATCTTAAAAATTGGGTGTAGTGTGCCTCGATAAGTATAATTCAACAGTCTGTTTAATGATTGCAGGCAGGCAGCTGCTTTCAGTTAACTTCTCTTTATTTGTAAGGACGATACTTCTGTAGCTGAGCAGGTTATGCCTAGGATTTTGCTTGCTCTGTAGTTCTTTTGTGTTTATGTACCATCTATGTGCTTTCTTTTTACCGAAGACTACAACTTTGGATTTGGCATTATTAATGACTAGGATGTTTTATATACAATAAGAACAAAATCATCTTAGCAGTCTTCTCAGTCCAGCTTGTGTAGTGGACAATATGATAATATCATCTGCATAAAGCAAAATATTTACAGATCTGTCTAAAATTTGGGGCATGTGGAAGTGTGGTGGTTTTTTTGTTTGTTTGTTTGTTTGTTTTTTGGTAGGTGTCTGACAATACCATTTATGTAAAAAATTGAAAGAAATGGGGCCAGGATAGAGCTTTGGCAAACACCCTTGTATGCTGGATTCTGATCTAAGAGTATGTGTGATGCCAGTTTGGATCCTATGACTGGTTTCATAGTAAAGACCTTTCTTTAAAATCAACAGCCTCAAATCAATGTTGGCATCAACCATTTTCTCCCAGAGCCATTGCCTGCTTATAGAGTCAAAGGCTGCACTGAGGTCGGTGAAGGCAGCATCAAGCTGCTCACTTTCCTTCTATATTTAGTTATCATAGGTGGTGTAGGATATAACAATTATCCAGCATAGATCTACCCCTCCTAAATTCTGTTTGTTCTTTGACCAGCAAGTTGTGATTTTCTGCCCAGCACTCTGCTTTTTGCAGGAGGTACCTTGCATACATTTTCACTGGTATATCAATCAGGCTGATTGGCCTATAATTCTTAGTAGTTTTGGGGGTCCTGTTTCTTCTGTATCGGTACAAATATACCTAGTTTCCAACCTTTTGGAGCACATCCTACAGACTTTTAGAAAGCCCTCCATATTGTGCTCTTAAAAGGAAAAGTGGCTGGCCTGTTCTGCTAAAGGAAAGGGAGTTTACATGTTTCATGTGATATCTCATGTATTCTTCAGTTTCTCCTCATCCTAAGAGAGAAAAGAGTCTCACATTCATTTAATAAGGTACATCTGTCAGTCCCTCTCAATGTTGAGGGCCCAGTCATTCAGTACTCTGGCATTCACCGATCCAGTTGTTAAGGCCCTGAAAAACCTAATACCAGAAGTCCATATTGGGGAAAAGGGGGGTTTCTAGGAATTTGGGTTTTTTTTCTTCTAGGTAGCATAGTATAAAGTAGAAACAACAATAACACAGAAATATGGAAATGTCAACCCAGTCTCATCAACACCTTCCCTGGTTTGCACACAAACTATCACTTTGTATGGGGGCGAAGACTCATGAAGCATTTAAAGTATGAAAAAGGTATCTTTACTCATAGTTACCTTTCTAATTATAGTCAGAAGGGGGTGGAGCTTCCAGCACGCAGGAGCCCGTGTATACCTGCTGCTTTGAAAATGGTGGGAGGAAGAAGGGCTCTCAACAAAATGGAAGCAAAAAACAAACAGGAAGAGGGGCCAGGGGTTTGCCTCAAATGCTAAAAACAGAACTTTACCAGTCAAGTTAGTGCCAAGGACAAGCACATTAGGCTGAGAATCCTCCCTCTCTATGATACCCAGTGTTAGTGCGTATAAGATTGCTATTATCCCAACAGTTCAGCCACCCATTCCGGTCCCTGTCCCTGGTATTATCACGGCTCATGAAAGCACCCTTTGAACCTATTATATAAAGTGATCTCCATCTCCTGTCATAAAAGACCACCTTTTTAATTGTTATAGGAGAACCTTGGAACATGTGTCCTTTGAACCCCATTTAATTTTTCATTTGGATAAGGTCCTTTGGCCTAATGTTCTATTTTTTATTAAATGTGCTACTTCCAGCATTCTTTTGCAACCCCCCCCCACACCTCCCAAACCCTGTGGCAAATTCTAGATATCCTGGTTCTGAGGTGAGCAGTGGTATTCTGTCTTTCCAACACTGCACCCTTTTGCAAAAACGCACATCTCTTCATTTCCTACAGTGAGCACAAAAAAGGTCTCCCACTCTCACTGCAACAATTCACACACTGGGTAGTCAAGTTTATCTAACTACCTTACAGACTTCCCCAAATCCCAGGCACTTTGAGCATCAAATGTCTCTGCACAAGATTCCCTACAGCAGATGTGCCTCTTGTAGACATTTTTAATGCTATCTGCTCTCAGTAATCTACATTCATCAGATATCACTGACTTGATGTTCAACTTCAAGGTAATGCCTAGGTTTCGGAGGGCAATTCTTTCTTTACTGTAGTGAAACTCTCACTCCCAGTAAGTCAGTCTTCCAATTGTGCAGCCCACAGAGACCATGAAGGCAGACATCTTTCTACTGAAGACATCTGCCTTATCAACTGACTTTTATGTGGAGTGGAGCAGCACCCAGTTGTAATTACATATCCTTCAGTGAACTGCACTACATGGGGATACAGCTTCATATTGTATTTGTTCTGGACTGTTTTATTTTTCATGCTTGGTAGGGTACTTTAGTGACTTCCTTCTTAAAACGTTTTTGGCTGAAATTCCTAGTTTATTTTATTTATTTATTAGATTTTTTACCCCGCCCCTCTAGACAATGTCTACTCTGCTCCTTTGACTACACTGATATTTCACCAGTCTGTTTGCAGGATGCAACCTCTATGTTCAGAAGAATTCTAAATTTTAAGATGATTGATATGTAATTCATAATTTCGGTCATAGTTGAATCTTATTTTGTAATTGTACAGGAACAGAAGTATTTGGGCTAAGAAAATGTTAATTATTTAATAGAAATGTGTGTTGTCATTCTGAAGATAGTTCTCCATACTGTTCAACTTGTTAATTTCACAAGTTTCCTACAGTACTATTCTTAGGAATTTCTTTAAATATAGATATAATCCACAATTCCTGGTACATAGTAATAATGATATTGTAGAACTGCAGAACTTGGAAGGGACTTTGGATCATTGTGTCCATCCCTTGTCAAGGACAAAGAGTGGAGAATCACTGTCCCAACCTCTGGCTCCACAGCTAGATACTTCAGATGCTTCTAAATCACTGAGCTATTCAGCAGTCAAATAAAATATTAATAAATTATTTATAATATATTTGCTAGTGTTTCTATTGATAATAGAATATACATAAAAACTGTAGTAGATATGGATGCCATTTAAGCTTCTTCAAGGCACATAATCTACAATATTCAACCATAAATGATTCAAGTGGTTTATCAGTTGTGGTATCTTGTTTCTTCTGGAAAACTAAAAAATGAATGTGTTCTTTCTAAGTGCTGCTGGAGGGGAAATCTTTGACCAGTGTGTTGCTGAAAGAGAAGATGCCTTCAAAGAAAAAGATGTTAAGCGTCTTATGAGACAGATCTTAGAAGGCGTTTCATTTTTACATCAAAATAATGTTGTTCATCTTGACTTGAAGGTAAGATTCAAGTCTTTGTTAGTTACCTCAATGAAGATAAATTCTGTAGAGCTGAGGCAGCATCAAGGTAACAGTTCTTTGAAAACTCTCCCATCAAAGTAGAGTTTGGAGTTACAGTGGTGCCTCGCTTGACGACGCTAATTCGTTCCAGCGAAATCGTTGTAGAGCTAAAACGTCGTCAAGCGAAATAAAAAAGCCCATTGAAATGCACTGAAAACCATTCAGTGCATTCCAGTGGGCTGAATACCTGCTCGTCCAGCAAAGATCCTCCATAGGGGCGGCCATTTTCGGTGTCTGTAGTGCGAGAAATGCCTCCTAAAAACAGTAGGGAGCCATTTTGAGCAGCCGGCGGCCATTTTGAAAACCCGACAATCAGCTGTTTTGATTGTCGTAATGCGAAGAATCGGTTCCCGAAGCAGGGAACCGATCGTTGCAAAGCGAAAAAAACCCATTTAAACATCATTTTGCGATCGCAATTGTGATCACAAAAACATTGTTGTGAAGTGGATTCATCGTTATACGGGGTAATTGTTAAGCGGGGCACGACTGTACTTTTAAAACTCCCCATTCCTGTTTTTCTTCAAATGCCAATTTCCTACCAAGAAAAGTACATGTGGAAATTTCAAAGTTTTAACCTTTTCTGTCCTTGGATGTACTACTGGTTTATTATGTAGAAGGATTTCTACCACTTAACAACTTTTAACAAGGATTTGTGTCATGCTGTCTCAGCCAAGCTGACTTTTTTCCCTCCCACTATCTATCACCAGTATTCTCTGTTTTTTAATTAGCTGCAACTCTTGGAACTACCTGGTCCCTGGGCTCTGTCTCTGCCACTAGATAGTACTCTATTGGTGATGTGCTTAAAGTATGCTGATCAGCCACATTATTGCTGGATTGTCGATCACCCCCAACCCAGAAAGCCAAACCTATTAAAGGTGGGATGTGAGGTTGAACTAACTCCAACAGAAAGATTTATTGTTGATATACACTGATCAACCACAACATTAAAACTGACAGATGAAGTGAATTATATATAATGATTATATGATATACAGTGGTGCCTCGCATAACGAGCGCAGTGTTTAATGACGAATCCGCATAGCGACATGTTTTTTGTGATTGCTTTTGCGATCGCATTGCAATGTTTTAACAGGCAAAACATCGCATTGTGGTGATCGGTAAGCGTTTCGCTTACCGATCTTCGCATTGCGATGTTTGCAGAACAGCTGATCGGCGGTTCCAAAATGGCCACCGGATGAAGAAAATGGCCACCTGTAGCGTTTTCGCGCCCTGTCCTCGCTTACCGAGGCGGCGAAAATGGCGGCCGGATGGGGAATCTTCGCTTACCGGTGAGTTTTCCCCCCATAGGAACACATTAAATGGGCTATATAGGGCTTTATATATCATAACCAGCACTTTGAGTTGTGCCCATAAACAGACCCCAGTAACCAACAAAGCTGTTGAAGGAGTTATATGTTGCCTATAACTGGCCCTTTGGGAGCAGCTGTATTTCTTTGCAATGCTTTCATTGGAATGCTGACCAAAGTTTCTATTGGTTAGAGGCTGATAAGGGGTTATATATTTTGTGAACTATTTTGAGTCACTGATCCAATTGAACCATTGCAAGGAAGCATGATTGCTCATGAAGTTTGTTACATTTAACTTAAACTAGATGGAAGTAGTATCATGAAAAACGATAATAAAGCTAGGTTGTAGTATGCCTGTGATTTTTAAAATATTATTTAGATGGCTCATATTTTTCCCTCTTTTCATCCTTGATGTGTCAATCTCTAGTTTGCGAACACTTTGTGACAGTGATTTGTGTTCTCTTACTTTATGAGTATCATGTACTACACTATTTTTTAAATTGAGATCTGGATTTAAATTTTGCAACTGTATGTAGGCTTTCTGATATATCATGTTAACTTGTTAAATTAAGTGTATGAGGTTGCACACAGTATGATTTTTTCCTTGCATTTTAAAAGTATGCTCTTTTTATATTGTGCAAACATTTTAATGTTTTCGTATGCACCATATAATTTTATTTTGAAGCATAGCTCGGCTTTAATGAACACTGTTAGATGTAGACTAAAACTTCCTGTTGACCTTCCCTGACATCTTTTTGTACAGGCAAATGATTTCGACCTTCAAAACATTCACAGCCATATGCTGGTAAAATGACCAGAAATGTAAGACATTAGGGTGGCTCCACAGGTTTTTAATAAGGTTGTTGTCACAACTACTTTATTTCCACTCACTTATTTTCAGCCCCAAAATATTCTGCTAACAAATGAATCTCCATTGGGAGACATTAGGATAGTTGACTTTGGCCTTTCAAGAGTGATGATGAATAGTGAAGAACTAAGAGAAATCATGGGAACACCTGAGTATGTGGGTAAGTTATTGACACATCGTTAATGTGATTGTCGAGGCGAATACCATAGATATATAATATTATGTTAATTATAGGGTTTGCCTCAAGGTCTCAAATCTGCATATTACTTCAAGGTTACAGTTATTAAGTTGTGTCAGTGTTCAAATACACATGGCCAAGAAAAATTTAAATGTTTTGGAAATAGTTTAAATTGTGTCATACCATTATCAAACTTCTAATGCCTACATAAAAGATATAAGAAATACATATCTAAATGGCATTTGGAAATGTTCTATCTGCTTGGCATCTAAATATTAAATGCATATTTTTATAGGAAATATAGCCATTAACTGTTTTTAAAATCTTAGCTCCAGAAATCCTGAGTTATGATCCAATCAGTACAGCAACAGATATGTGGTAAGGAGAACTCTTTCTTGAATAGTTATTTCAAAAACTGCAGGTTTTCTTTTTATGAAGCTAATGTCTTTTATTTCTCCTTTTAAACTTAGGAGCATTGGAGTACTAGCATATGTCATGCTAACAGGAGTATCGCCTTTCTTGGGAAATGGTAAACAGGAAACCTTTTTAAATATATCTCAGATGAACATAAATTATTCTGAGGATTTTGACCTTGTATCCGAATCTGCTGTGGACTTCATCAAAACTCTTCTGGTTAAAAAACCCGAGTAAGTTGACTTTAAAGGCTTTTTTTCATAACTGTGACCCATACAAGGTACCATTATGATTTGCTCATGTACATTGATTTTATCTGAATGAAATATATCTGGCTTCATGAACCAGTGGTTTATAAAGTTAGGAATAACCATTAAGACTATGAACCTCCCTTGGCATGTTGGCTTTGACATGGATATAAATATTCCAGCTTGAACACTAATTTAGCACAGGAGTGTGTATCAACATCTGGAAAACCTAGAGTCATATATATTGTGAAATTGAAATGTTCTAAAATTTATGATATGTCTTTAAGCAGCCTTTTGCTCCATGGTTTTCAGGTTTGGGGCCTTGTAAAATAACTGTCATAGAATGGCTACAAAATTTTACATGGGTATGATTTGTGTGCAGTAATCTTCATGTAGATTGGCTGGGGACGTCAGGATTTTTTATACTTCCACAATTTGTTATAATTTCCCCAGGTGACAGGAGTTTTCCATACCTCCATTGATCCTTTTTTTTAAAAAAAAATATTTTACTAAAATGAATTACATAACATAAACCTACTCCCACAGAAAGAATAAAAAATAAAATAAAATACAATTACATATCACACAGTGTCACCATCACCTTCAGGGCTAGCATTAAACTTCATTCAATCAATTTTCCCTCCAAAAATGCATTGTTTCTTCCCTCAGTGTATACCCCTTCCCTCTCCAAAATACATATTCCAGCAATACATTCCATATTTTTCTTTAAATGGTTATTTTTTGATTGGCCTCTTCTTATTTTCATATCACATGTCAGTTTGTCATTAATTGCCATATCCCATAATTCTCTATACCATTCCTCTAAGCTGAATTGATTATCATTCCTCTAATTTCTTGCAAAAATTAATCTTGCAGCTGTAATCATTATTACTATTAAATCCTTATTTTCTTCCAACACTTGATCGTTATTGACCAAATTCAGTAAAGCAGTTAATTGGGACATTTAAATATTTAATCCTATTATTTCACTTATTTCTTTAAAGATTTGATTCCATTCTTGCTTTCTTACTTCACATAACCACCACACGCACACACACACACACGTGTGTGTGTGTTCCCTTCTCTTTTTTACACCGCCAACATGATGATACACTTTTATCTATCATACTCATTTTACTGGTGTTAAATGCCACCTCGATATTACTTTATAGCAATTTTCTTTTATCCTTACTGACATGTTCTTCATAATTCTTTGATCCCATATTTTATCCCATTTTCTCCTATTCTCTATCCAAATCATATTGCCATTGCATTTTTAATCCTTATGTACCCTGTTCAGCTTGTGTTAATAGTTTATATATTTGACTTACAGTTCCTTTTCTTTCTGTTTTTTCCTCTGATTTCAATCTTTTTTCTATAATCTCTTGAAATTTTGTCATTTTTCTACTTTCCCCTTCCTTACTATTCCATTCGCTTGTCCACCATTCTAATTGGATCATATTTAACTATGAAATCCTCTCTCCTCCTAATATCTCTTTTATATTTTCTTTATCTCTCATCTTCTTCACCCAATCTTTTAACCTATTTATCTCTTTATTTTTTAATATATTCTTAATATTTTTTTTAGATTTCAGGAAAATTCCTTAACTCCGCCACCTGAGATAAAGGGGAAATCGGAGGACTCAGTAAGCCTGTAAACTTTTTCCAATTTTCTAACATATTTTTAAGGAAAGGATTATTAATCTTTTTAATCTCTTCTCCAATTTTTTCTTTAAACAATATACTTTCCACTCTTTCTTCCTTACCCTCCATTTCTATTTCTGTCCAGATTAAATTTTTATTACCTTTAATGATATCTGGGATATGTCTAAGCTGATTTGCTATACAGTGGTGCCTCGCTTAACGAGCGCACCGTTTAAGGACGAATCTGCATAGCGACGTGTTTTTGCGATCGCTAATGCAATCGCATTGCGATGTTTTAGATAGGGAAAACATCGCATTGCGATGATCGGTATTTCACTTACCGATCTTCGCATTGCGATGTTTTACAAACAGCTGATTGGCGGTTCCAAAATGGCCGCCGGGTACAGCAAATGGCCGCTCGCAGCGTTTTTGCGCCCTGCCCTCGCTTACCGGGCGGCGAAAATGGCGGCCGGATGGAGGATTCCCCGCATAGCGGTGAGTTTTTCCCCAATAGGAACGCATTAAACTCCGTTTAATGCGTTCCTATGGGTTCCCCCCCCCGCATAGCAACGCAGGGCACCACTGTACAATATAAATTTATATTAGCTAATTCAAGTCCTCCCTTTTTTGTGTAACATACCATAAATTTTAATTAATCTTCACTCGTTTATTTCCATTGCAGTAACAATTTATCATTATCTGCCATTCTTTCAGTTCTTTTCTGTAATCTTTATAGGAAGCATCCAAAATATAAAATTTAGGAATTATTTTCATTTTACATAAAGCCACTCTATTGGACCATGAAATCTTTAACTTCTAATATTCTTTTATCCTCCCATTTATCTCTCTTTTTAATCTATCCAAATTTATTTTAATTGTTTCTTGTAAGTTCCAAGTAATATTAATCCCTAAATATTTTCCATTTTACCTTCAAATATTATTTTCATTTTTCTCTTCTCCTCATCCAAGTGATTTAACAATAAACATTCTGACTTTCCCTGATTTAATCTTAACCCCGTTATACTCTCAAATTCCTTCAAATGCTGTTTCTTTGAAACTTTCTATTGTTTCAATTGGATTTTAACCATTAATAATGTATCGTCCGCAAACAAATTTATCTTACCATTTTCTTTGTTGTCTATCCCTCTAATCTGTTTATCATCTCTAATTATCTGTGCCAATAATTCAGTTATCATTGTGAATAATACTGGAGATAAGGGGCAACCTTGGCCTAGGTATATTGACTCAGTTATACCATCATTAACTATAACTGGCTGTATTCTGTGAATACAGTTGGTGGATTATCTGCCTAAAAATGGGTTCAAACCCTAAATATTTAATATCTTTAACGAACCCCATTCCACTGAGTCAGATGCTTTAAATATATCTAACAATATTACTCCGGCTTTAGAATTAGTTTCTTTAGCTAGGTACATTAAGTACCCTTCTCATTAAATCTGACATTTGTCTACCTAGCATAAATCCATTTTGAGCTTTTTCAATGTATTTCCCCATATAACTGTTTAATCTCTTCGCCATTATTGCTGTGAATATCTTAGCATCTTGATTTATCAATGATATGGATCTATATGCTTCCATATTTGTAGGATTTTTATCTGGTTTCAATATTAAAACACTGAGTGACTTTCCATGATAGTGGGATTTCTTCTCCCATTAGTATCTTCTTAAATAACTCTTTTAATTTTGGTATTAAGAGTCTTTTTAAATAACTTATAATATTCTGGACCTAATCCATCTGTTCCAGGGGTCTTTCCTGCCTTTAAATTTTTTATAATATCCTCTGTTTCTTTATCTGTAATCAACTGTTCCATTTTTTTTAATCCTCGTCTGATTTCTTATTAAAATTATTTTTATATAATCTTCAAATTTTATTATGGAAGGATTTTTACTATATCAAGTTTTATAAAATATTTGAAAAGCTTCCAATTTCTCCTTCATTTTATTACATCTTTTTCCATTCATATCTTGTATTACTACTATATTACTTTTATTCTTTTTTATGGAAGACACTTTAGCTAATAACTTAAGAGTTCTTATTGCTATAGTCAAAATTTTTTCTTTTTAAGTAAATTAAATTTCTTTATACCTTTTCTAGATGGATTCCTTTCAATTTCTTCCTCTTTGCTTGCAATTCTATTATTGCTTTTTTTATCTCTAGTTATTATAACTATTTTTTTCTAATTCCTTTATAGTGTCTTCTAAATCCAGTAATCTTTTCCCCTGGTTTTTCTTAGGCATGTATGACATCTTATAGGCGTACCCTTTTGCCACAGATTTCATAGCGTCCCAGATTACCTTAGGTTGACCTCCTCCCTTCTCATTTATTTCCCACGTCTCTTCTAAATCTTTTTGGAATTTTTCAATCAGGTTTGGATACCTAAAAATATTTGTATCAATTCTCCACCGGTTTATCTCCTTATAATCACATTTAAACATCAATTCCATGTTCACTCTGGCATGGTCCAATATTTGTATGACTTAAATAACTGTATCATTTACCGTAGGCAGCAGATCTTTAGATACAAATACGTAATCTATTCTTGAATATGTATTATGCAGCTGTGAGTGAATGGAGAATCTTCTTTCATCACCCTTTAATTCTCTCCATACATCTTTCAGATCTGTTTTATTTATTAATCTGTTTAATATCGTTTTGATTTTTCCTTCCCCTTTTTGCAACTTTGATTGATCTTTCTTCAAATCCATTACCATATTAAGACATAAGACATAAGACATAAGAAATTTATTTGTCATTGCGCTCACAAGTGGGTGCAACGAAATGAGGTGCTCTTCCCCAAGGTAAAACTGGACAACACTACAAAAAAAGTTAAAATATACACAACTTTCACCATCCAAATATAGATACCCCATTTTCTCTCAGCAATTAAAATCCACCAAAAACCTATGGCCCCGCATTTAAACTCAATACTGCACTTGGGTATTAAAATCACCTGATAGTATTACTGAACCTTTCCTCAATTTATCCAACATTCTCAATATATTTTGAAAAAATTCCTCCTATGTCTCATTAGGTGCATAAACATTTACAAACGTAATATCTTCACCTTTTATTTTACCTTGCATTATCAAATATCTGCCTTGAGTATCTTTTTCCATTTTCTCTATTTTAAATGTACACTTTTTTGATATTAATATTGGTACTCCTTGAGATTTTGAAGTCCCAAACAATTTTTCAGAAATTTGAATCTATTTGCCCCTCAGTTCCTTAAAACCCTCCTTTTTTGATGAGTTTCTTGCAAAAGTACAATATCCATATTACTTTTAATCAGTACATTCTGTATCCTAGCCCTCTTCATACTAGACCCCAGGCCTTTTTTTAAAATTTAATACTAGTCCTGGTTTGTGTGTCACTGTGCACCCCCATTTGAAAAATAATTTTAAAAACCCTCAAATTCCTACTGAATCCTTCTAACATCCAATTCCCCACTGCTACTTTTCTCCCCCTTCTTCTAATAGACTCTTCCGGTCTCCTCTGCAGACCCTGGGAGGGGGGATGTGTCTGTCCCCATCTGCCACGACTCTCTCCCTGTCTCACTCTGTTCTTGTTATATGAATCCTATTTTATCCCAAACATATCCATAAGTACCTCTTATTATATTTTTGCCATACATCTATACAAAATTATTCAAATATAACTTTAAACATATTGGGTATATTGATATCTATATTTTATATACTTTTTTAGAAAAGATATTCCTTCCCAGAATTCTTCCCTTTTTTAAAAAAATAAATTATTCTTGTATTCCCAGTCTACCCTTTTTTATATTCCCTTTATCTCAATTTATTCTGGATTATTCCTCCTTTTTTTAAAATTAACCATAACTGGGTAACTCCTTGTAAATCTCATTATCTTTTTCAGGTAGTACTATATCTTTCTCAAAAAAAAATTTCTGGGTTTACCCCTTATTATTATATCCCTTTATATTATAAATTACAAGCACCAGACAATCTCCATTTATGTCAAGTAAGATTTTACATTGTATCTATTAACTTTTATTTTAAGTCTATTAACTCTTATTCTCTTGATTTTCCTCATCTTCTAGCTTCTTTGGTTGTTTTGGCTTCGCTCCTTGCTTTTCTTGTTCTTCTTCCTCCTTATCACCATCAATCAAATCCCGCTCCATTGTTTCCTTTTCCTCTGACTCATGACTTAGCGCTGGTCTCTCCACCTTCTTCATTTGTTCCTCCCATTCTTTTTTATTATTATTTCTTAATCCTTTAAAAACTCCAAAGCCATTGCAACTGATGTAACTTTATGAAATTTTCCATTATGATGCACCTTTAGAAACACTGGGTAACCCAAGCTGTATTTAACACTTTTTTCTTGAAGAAGAGATGTAATAATTCTTCTAAATTCCATCGTCTCATGACAATAATCGTTAAAAACTTGCATAGGATACCAAGTTCCCTGGGTTCTCTTTTAGAATTGTCATCAGTTCCTCTTTTTTTTTCTAGGACTTGAAAGTCTGATCAAAATGTGGCGAGGTTGACCTCTGCATCTTGAACCAACCCTGTGTATTTTATCCAAGTCGTAAACAGTCCAATCTATTTTTGGTGTCGTCTTTTTCAGCCAGGCCAGTGCTAGTTCCATTAAGTCCTTCTCTTTGGAGCCTCTTTGGATCATCTGCTGCTGTAAATCTATAGTAGCCATTTCATTGTCCATTAATCTAGCTGAATTTTGTTTTACTTGAGATTGCAAGTCTTCAAGATGTTTATCAGTTTGGTTAAAATAAGAATCAAATTTCTTGTTCAGTTCTTTTTAGTCCTCTTGGTTGGTCTTAACATCCTTTCCCAGTTCCCAGCTTCAGCTCACTATTTGATTCCCTGGCAACTAGATAAGAGTTTTCAACTAGTGCTTAAACTGTCCATTTATAAGCAGTTTAAAGAATCTTCTGGCTGTGGTGGGAAAATCTGCTCCGCAGGAATCCCTGCTGAAGATGGCTCTGACTCCTCCACACTCCTCCACCCACAGCTGCGGTGGTACATGATTGTTTTAAGAAAAACTGCTTTTATAGTCCTCTTCCTGTTCCTCAGGGATATTATAAAGTATACTTCACTTACATATCAATGAGCTTTTTTTTTTGCTGCTGCCTCATGTAGTTTCAGAGTGAGAGCTCCTTGACTCTAAAGCCATGACCATTAAGTTCAGGACACACCCTTCCATTGCTCCTTTGAAAACTGAGGAAACTGTCCCATTTCCCCCCTGGCAATTGCAAGGCTTCATGAGTGAGGAAGTTCTGTTCAGGTGCCCTCTGTAGAGCTTAATGGGCATTGAAACGACCCCACCTGTGAAGACATGTGTTTACCTGCCATAATGTGATTGCTGAAATTAAGGGAAATTCATTCTAAGCTATTTTATCGAATCCTTTTGGCTTCCCTTTTTACACCCCCTCTCCTCTTTTTCTTTTCAGGGAACGGGCAACTGCAGAAGAATGCCTGCAACATTCTTGGCTAGCACAAACTTATGTTCCAGATACAATGTTCTGGAATAAGAATACAGAAAAAGAATCAGAGGTTGTTATTATAAATGAAGATGCTACTTTTGAAAATTCTGCAGATGGAGAGAAAAAAGAAGAAACAGTAATGACAGAAGAGTTGATCGTAGTAGCTTCATATACACTAGGTCAATGCAGGCAGTCAGAAAAAGAGAAGAATATTGAACCCAAACCCATTTCGATACGGTTTAAATTTGAGGAACCATTATTGCAAGAAATACCTGGAGAATTTATTTACTGAGTTTTTTTCTGTTCTAGAGACTTTAAAAGTGATGTGGATACTGGTTCTTTTGTCCTCAGACCAGTTTATATACAGCCAAATAACATGCACATACAAAAACTTTCTACATAAAGAAACTCTTTAAAAGTCAACTAGGAAACAATGCCAAACTTCTTTATTTTTATGGAATTGATATACAGAGGAGAGCACAAAGAAGTTCATTTTTTCCATCTGCTGATACTGTGCTTTTTAAATAGTTATTTGTGTAAAAGTGATGGATACTTCAGTTGACTGGACAAGCTGATAGGTGTGCTTTTTCACCAAGTGCAGCAAAAAATACGAAGAGCAATTAATATTTGAGCACCTTACATGTATTAAGGTATATTTGTCTTGTTCCATTCTGTTTTAATCCTGATGAAATGGGTGAACTTGTCCCCCTTTGACTTGTCATAGTCTAGTTTTTGAATTTAAGTCAAGATTCAAATAACTTAATAATTTGAAGTTGGAGGGAGGAAGGAAAGCCTCTAATTGCCATTTTACCTCAGACTGCATTGACTGGGTTCTCCCAGTTCTTTTGCTACATCATGACCATTGTAATGGTGTAAAGAGGTTCTGCCTGTACGCTCAGAACGATCAAATGATTGCTGCATATCAGCAGGCAGAGAGGGTGACATATTTAGAATATGCATATGTCTTGCTGCCCAGTCTAAATGCCTGTCATTTTCTACCCAGATGAAAAGTGAAGCTTTCTATACTCGTTCAATTAAAATATGCTGTTTGTTTCTCGTGTGCATGAAATGTTGCCTCTTGGTTAATTGTTCTTTCACCAGGAGTAGGCAGTATTTTGTCTTGAAACTATTCTACTGAATTTGGTTTTTCACATGCAGTGAAATTATTGTTTCTGCTGTTTAACATTTTCCAGAGCTGGCTCTTCTACTTAAGAGTCATCTCTAGCTTTGTAATGGAATGTGCATGTGCTAGTCTGCAGTAGACAGATTGGAGGGGGGTAGAATTAATCTGACTATAAAGGGCACAAAGTTGCTTTAGTTTATGAAGAACACATGGAAGCCTAGTGACCTTTACAATGTGTGCTGCACAGCATATATTAATTTTGTCTCTTGTCAGTTCATTTGTTTGCCATTAGCAGAAATTGCACTGAATTTCCAAAACAGCTTATCAGTGAATCTGGTTTCCACTGATTTAAGTGACTTATTTGGAAATGACTTTTTTTTTGAAAAGCTGAGATATAATCTTAGCAGATTTCTAGATCCAAACAGAGCAACATGTTATTCAAATGTTGTAAATGATTTCTATGATTAAAAATCTGTTTGGAGCACTAAGAAATGTAAAAGTGTATCTAGCACAAAGATAACATACTGGTTTTATGAGTAGCAGCAATAACCTGTAAAAGGACCCATACTTTTTTTGAGGATCTACAGTACTTTCTATTGTTACTCCCAGAGGTTTACTTTTTTTGTATTATCTTACGAAGGCTGTACTCAAGTTCAGCTTGTTTGTGTCACAGTTCATGTCAGATGCATAAAACATTCACTCTTTGACAATGAAGTGGTGTTTGTTCCTTTGTCCAAACAGACCTTTTGGTGGTACAACAAAGGTAAATTCATGTTTGCCTTTGTTGTACCTCATATTGGTGAGGTAATCAAGTTGTGATTATGCAGAAATCTTTAAATTAATTATACAGTGTGTGACCTAGCAAATGTACACTTGGATTCCTCTTCCAATGTGAGTGCAGATTTGAAGCTGTAAGGAAGAGAATGCATCCTATTACATCTTCGTTTGAATTGTTCAATAATAAAACTTCATAAACAGTTTAATAATTTTAACGTACTTCTAACAAAGCCAGCTTCTTTTCAAGTTGGCTGCTTAGAAACTTCTTTATATTCTATAGAGTAATAATTTGCTGTGCCTTAAGATAAGTTTTGTACAGTAATAAAACCACTTCAAATATGTATAAATGCTACAGAGGTATAATGTAAGTTATAAATAAAAGTTAAGTTCATCTGTAATGGAAGAAAATCGTATATATAAGGACATCAGCTAATTCCATAAATGGAATTTATGCCACTCTACCATACTCTGGAAGCATGAAGTTGTGATCTAAAGCTATAAAATGAAATCTATATATTGAAGGTTTTCTTGCAATGAATTGTTACTGAATAATAAACAGTGTTATTCCAAGGTACAAACTGGAAATCCTACAGCAGAAAAATAAACATTCTCTCCAGATGTTGAATGAGGGAATACAGTCCTTTGGTACTTCTTGCACTTTCAGATGTTTTGTGGCTGTTTTATGTTCTTCTTCTATCTGTTAAGTTACAGATAATTTTGAAACTTCTTGCCATGGGAAAACAAACCTTTTGAATCTTTATGAAAAGGCAGAAGCAGCAGCAAAGTTTCCTTGATACTAATGCTGATTATCACAGTAAAGTTCCAGCGTTTCCTGGCTTTTTTAATTTTAAGAGTTCAGACTGTAGTCTTAATACTTTCCAAAGTAAGGGAACAATGACAAAAAGGGCGGGTTATCAGGTGAACTCCAAAGTGACTGGGGCAGCAAGGAAGTGCCATGCTTCTAAACACTTTTTTGCAGAATCCTGAAAGTTGTACACTTACTGTGGTTTTAGAAGTCACATTTTTAAACTTTGGAGACTTCTTATGTTCTGCTGGTCATTACAAAATTGTTTGCTTTAATGTGATAAGCTGTTTTTTCCAGTTCTTTAATTATGTCCTTCAACTTTCCACCCTGAAAAAAAAAGCTACTATATTCCAGTTTTATATAGGTGTTTAAGTCTCAAGTAACTTCTTGCTTCTTAGAGGAGCTAATGAGAGGGGAAAGTGGCAACACAAAGAGATAAGATCAAACTGCATCTGAGACCTTAACTGCTTCAGCACGTGTGATGCCTTGACTGAAAAAAAATTCTCATCAGCTTAGCTATAGCTGTTGATTTATCAGTGTAAAGCTAGATTTATGCTTTGATAGGATCTTCAGTTGTCAGCTAGGCTGCTCCAGAGCTACTATGAAAAATTATAACTACTGCCAGATGTCACTGTTTAAGACATACGTTGCTGTAACAGGGGAAAATGTATCTTCCGGCAAAGCATCAAATATGGGAGGAAAAGGATGAAACTACTTCACAAAATATACTTCTGAAAACAGGTAAAATGAAGCAAACTAGTTCATAAAATTATGGAAAGCTAATCAATCTGTTTTGTATTATTTGGTATGTATCTACTCTTATTTCAGATATAAAGAACAGCTCACTGACTGACCAATTTATAATGCTTATTTCCCCTCATACCAGTCTAATCACTCACAACACACAATACCATGTGAAGAGGTGTCACCAGATAAAAGTGATCGAACCTTAAAATTCCCTTATTTGGGAGGCACCCTGCATTGTGCAGCTTGCCCAAGACTAAATAGTCTGGCTCTACTCACAGTAGGCACAGTGAACTCCAAACCTCTGGCTCTGTAGCCAGGTACTTAAAACACTGAGCTATCCAGCTAGCTTAGATGGCCTAAGACAGGGGTCTCAAACATGCGGCCCAGGGGCCATTTGCAGCCCGCCAGATGATAGTTTGCAGCCCCTGCCTTGCCTGCCCCCCGAAGCACCCACGCGTCCTCTGCTGTCAAGAGTTTTAAAAAAGGCCTTGCCTCGCTCGCCGGCTCTCTCCCAAGACAGTGCCTCTTGCACCCTGCATCCGGAACTGCAGCCTGCAAGCCAGCCCGCCTGTCTGCCGGCTAAGGAAACTCCTGGGTGGCTTTCTCAGGCTCTTGCTCCAGTTGGCAGAAAATCTGATGCGGCCCAGCCTCACCCAGACTCTGCCTCCAGCGGCCCCCAGGTAAATTGAGTTTGAGACCCCTGACCTAAGACATCTGAAATTGTTCTTTATACCTCCTGGCAAGTTACTGTGGACCTGCAGACTGGACCTGCTAGATGGGGATGTACTTCACAGGCATAGAGACAGGTCCTCCCTTTGGGCTAGAACAACAATCCTGGATCACCTGGATTAGCCAGAGAGGAATGCTGTGGGAAACACTAGTTGATATGATCATTTATAATGTACAGCTCCTCAGGAAACTAGAGGCACAAATCATTCAGCTTGTAGAGACAACTTCCATCACAAAATAACCTTAATTTGATTCTGGCTAAAAATAAATATTTGGCTCTGCTCTGCCTTTGACTCCCTAACACAACACTGATTAGGTCAGATGTGCTGGAAAAACAGGTGTAGCGGGGTGGCAGAGATCTGTAGAAGGTGGACCTTGCCAAAAGGAAATTCATGAGGGTTGCAAGGGGTATAATCATGGTAACTGGGAGCATGTGGATACATCACACTGAGATATTCCATTCAAACAACACCCTCATTCAGTTATAACAGGGCACATATTTCAGGCTCAGGCTAGGATCAATGAATGAAGAGTAGAACAGAAACAGTAGAAGAAACAGATGGTTATGCCATCAATAGTTTAGCAGGGGGGAAGGCGGGGCTTCATCGCGGTGCTGCCAGCAGCTTCCGGGAATAGCTCCCAGGAAAAGCTGAACCACCCAGTCTGGAGTCCCTTTAGAAATGAGGGATTGAAGGAGAGACTAAGAGAGGTCTCCCTGAAGCAGTTGGTGAGCAACAGAAGGAGGAAGATTGGGCAGCAACCCGGTATTTCCCTCTGAAAATTCACCCGAGCACCGATCGGATGCGGGAGCCATCTTTGGCAGTGAGCTGTGAGGAACACACACACACACACACGGAGGAGAGGGGAACAAGCAATGCAGTGTTGAAAATATATAACAACAAAGCAAGTTGAAGCTTTTGATTTATGAACAACCCCACTAAGCTGAAAAAGAAATCAGAGTGAAAATATTTGGCCGGAAGAAGGCAAGGAGCGGCGAGTTTTGCTTACCAACCTGCTTCTTTAAAAGCAAAACTGACTCTTAAACAGCAGGCTGGTTCAAGGCCGAAAGACAGTGAGATGGGGAAAAAAATTGTGTCTGGAAAAAAATCCCAGAGTGAAATACCACTGAACGGGATTTAAGAGAGTGAAATTTGCTGAATGCTGTTTAGCCTGGACTTTTCTCCCTAGATTGTGTGGGACTCCGATATAGAATCTTGTTAGGTTTTTGGAGAAGAAGGAATGAGTTTAGAAGCAAAAAAACAGACTGAGAATCATAACACTGAGATGACGTGGTTGACTGGACTGAGGAGACAGGAAAACCAGGACTGGAGTTTTTTTTTTTTTTAACTTGAATCTTTGGATTAATGGAAAGAACATTAGATGGATTATAAGGATATCTATTGGCGAGATTGAAACCCTGTGAATGCTGTTTAGTCTAGATTTTTTTGGCTGGACTGTGTGGGACTCTGATAATAGAACTTTGTTAGGTTTCTGGAGAAAAAGGGATATTTTTTGCCACAGTGGTATTTTAAATTGTTGGGCTAAAAGTTGATTTATATAACATCTGTGTAAGGATGGGAGGAAGAACCTAGGGGAGGTTTATGATTGTGGGTTTGGTTAGTAGATAAAATAGTGAAAACTTCAGAGATATTTGAGGGTTGGCCACTTTGGTGAACAAATATATAAATATATATATAAAAGAAAAAATAGTTTAGCAGGGGTTGGATAGTGTCCAATGTCCCTGCCTGTCTTTGTGTTAGTTTTGTGTATAGGACTGGATCCAATCTGGAAGACTGATCAGCAGGTAGACCTCTATTTCAGGCCAGGGATCTCTTAAGAGTGATTTTGGGATGAAGGATAGTAGGAGATTGCCCAGTTTGGGAGGGCTGGAATGATCTGGTCTTCATAACAGATAGCAGAGGTTCCACTCAGCGGTGTCATAACTCTATTCACTGCCATTCTATGGGCTATACGCTGATACAGATTTACTGTAATATAAAGTACAGTGGTGCCTCGCAGAACGAGCGCCAGTGATCTATTTAGCTACTACTGTACAGTCAGAAAATGTTATGTTAAAAATCACCCTTCTCTTCCAAAAATTGGAAGAAAAGAAAGGTTACTTACCTGTAACCATGGTTCTTCGAGTGGACCTCTGTGAATTCACACATATGGGTTTAGTCTGCGCCTGCGCTGACATTCTCGGAGCATTCTAGAGCTAAAAGTAACAATTTTATAGTGAGATCCCCCATGAGGCATAAGCTCCTCCCACCCAAGATTCCCCTCAGTTCCTGCAATTTGTCCGCCAGGCATGAGAGTTATACCACAATAAGAT